ATCTTGAAAAAATGTATAAATATTTAAAAATTATTAATTATTGATTAGAGATTATTGTTATTATTAATTATTGATTAAAGACTATATATATTATTTATAAACATTTAAAGATAAATCGCAATCACTTTAAAATCTAAACATTATTTAAAATCTAATAAACCGCCATTTTTGCCACCAAGGGGGAGGGGGAATTAGCCCTGTTGGGTGGCTGGTGGTGGGTCGTCTACACGTTACGAAAATCCTGTATAGGAGAGTAAATAACGTCGAAATTCGTTTTTGCCCAAGTCCTACGCAGGCAAGAACCTTGACATAACATGGCAGAAATTTTTCTGCAAGCGAACAAATTTTTTGGCACGAAAATTTCGGTCAAAGAAATTTTCGAGGAAGGGCCAAAAGAGTTTTTAAAAAAATCAATCCCCCATTGCAGGGATCATTTTGATCAAGTTTTTTGTGGAGTTCGAGGCTTAAAAGACTATATAAAAACGTGGTTGAAAGTGAGTTGTTTTTTTCAAAGATGGCGACTTTAATTTCCTTCCTTATAAGAGTACATATGCCATAAGAGCAACATTAGATACCATTAGGGGAATTATTTAGGAAAACAAAGGCGCGCGCTATTATTATTATTATGTCTAGTAAGTGAATTATTTTTTGTGTTTATATTATTTCGACTGGAAACTTCATATTTTAGAAACTTCATATTTTGGAAACTTCATATTTTAGAGTAGCAAGGTCGAAAAGACTAGCGCGAAAGAAAGGCTGTAGTGCATTTTGATTGAATCATTGCACTGGATTTCATTATCAAACGCAAAAATAATCATAGTCGATTTTTTCCCCCGATTTTATCTTTACCGTTAAATTTTATCTAAATTGGGCTCCCTGTGGCTAAAACAATGCCACTCCCCTCTCTTAGGCAGTGCCTAATTTCATATTATTCGTCAGCGATGACTACACTTGATATTTGCTTTGCATTGCACATTCGATACATCAGATAATATGACCATAACTAAATGACACTATGATGCGTTTTCGTTAGCCTTGTGCCTCTGGCTGGAACAGTGTTGTTTCCATTCGTGACGTCACGTTCCAACTCTCTCTGATTTTCGAAATGGTGGTGAGTTTGAAGACTCATAGAAGGCGGCTAAAAAAATCTAAATATTCTTATTACGAAGACTTTCTGTCTTGATATAGCAATCAACACAAAGTTGTGTAGAATATGTTTTACGAGTTACGGATACCTTGGAGAAAAGGTATGGTTTTAGGAGCTGGAACTTAAAAAGCATAGCGGAAAACCGTGCAAAGTTTTGAATGAATCAACCGCAAAATAGAAGGTTTGATAAAGACGACATGAAACATTATACATGCCAATTTTAAGGAAATCTGTCTTCTTAAAGTCCATATCTTTCCCTTTCAAGCTTTAATGAAGCCCGAAAGAGATCGATGCAGTACTAGTTTAAGCTAGAGTTTTTATGTAACCAAAAAAAGCTCGTCTATTTTACAACAATGGCTCTCAGTACTAGTTTGAGTAACGAGTTATTGTAACGTCTATTTTCCAACAATGTCTGGCAGTACTAGCTTTGTTTAGAGTTTGTGCTTCATGCCGCTGGCTTCTCACACATAAATGGCTTCTTTTCCAGGCAGTGTTTGTCCAGCCACATCCTGTTACTTCTCATTGCCACGCACTTTCTGCCAGAGAGCACAGGTTTGGGATTGTAGGCTGGCAGAGGCATAAACTGACTGACAGGTGTACCATCAGACCAACGAAAGGCATTTTTGTTGGCTTGATCATTCAGGCCAATCCATACTCCTTGCTCATGCCAATCTGGAAAATAGGCCACAGTAATAAAACAACGATGACGTAACAGCACGATTCCAAACTTATGAACATTTTAAAAGCTACAGATTCAACGTACTCTGAAAGCCGCGGGGTTTTTTTTCAGTACAAGACAAAAGCCCGTACAAATTAAATATGCGCTCATTTGAGGGATTTTAAAGAGTGCACCTTAATAGTTCATTAATTAATAGTTCATAAAATGAATATCGTTTCRCAAATCGTTCGGGATTTCATTATCTTAGTGTAACATGGACTAAGTATGTCTTTTATCTTGAATTGGTCATGTCAAAAATTACAGCACAACTTCTTAAGGTGTCCTATATATTACTATAAGGACGTTCATGGGCAAATGATCGCATGAACGTCCTCAATGTAAATGGCGTATTCATTGCATTAACAGAAAATAAATGAAATCTCCGAACGTTTCCTACAATGGCATAGACCCTTTGTATCTTAAAGCCAATCCGCCCGAAATKCAAGTTTTGCAATAGTCCGTCCTGTAATTTGTTTATACCAGCTGATGCTGATGTTTCAGCCTTGGATTTTGTAAGCCGGACCTCAAAAACGTATGGCATGAATGCGAGAACATTTCCGCATATTTTTCTTAAACCTCGCGCCTGGTTTAGGTTTGTCATCTTCGTACTGCACCGTTTTCATTGGAACCTCCCTGCTACAAAATAAGTTCAGGAAATCAACAAATTTAATTAAKTAATCAATTAACAATTAATCACTTACACATGGCGGTTTGTGCTTCGTGGAGGCTCAATGATTTGTGAAATAGCATAAAGTGTTTGATGTAACCATGGAAATAGTTATTAACTTCATGTTTGCGAGACGAACCAAATACAAAATCGGTAGGTACTATTTCCAGACTCGTAGAGTTATAATTTTCAAACTTTTTTCCGTTGATCAAGAGGCCATACAAACTTTCTGTTTTATTCCAAATGAAGGAAAAATGGCACCACTTATTTTTGATGCATCTATGAATAAATGAAAATAATAAAATACTTTAATATTGCCTGATAGAACCTCTGCGCTCATATAAGTCATGGTACAGCTAAGTCGCAGATCGAATTGCGATTACTCTAGTTTTGTGAGGGAGGAAAACCAGAGGTCCCAAATAAAATCTTTCAAACCGAGGGAGACTTCAAATARATAGCAATCACAGAGTGATTCATATTCCATAAATCTAACCCGAAACCCGAGGCGAGTGCACTACCACTACCGTAACCTTGATTCCCTTTGACTATATAGATGACAGATGTCATTGCTATTTTGTTATGGATTGGTAAATGGTATAAGAAGAAGGCGTAAAGATATCTAACTAGAAGCCCATGCATGGAGGCCATCACAATTAAAAATGACAAAGTATACAAACGAAGGTGGGCTACCGACCAGTCACGTTATTTTATAATCAATTCGTGCTATAACCAGTTGATCATTAACCAATCCGTTAGCCAATYAATCTTTCTACTATTTACTCAATCCGGTCTTCGGTCAATATTTTAAACGTACCCGCAGTTCCTCTTATCCATCGTTGCTGGAGTTGCAGCATTGACTTTACAGTAAATACATTTCTCCGATCTGGTGCCAATGTATATTACTAAATATCCATTACTCGAATAACCTTCAAATGCACAAGGATAACCAGCAGTCGTGTTCAGATGCTTGAGCCACATTGTGATTGTAAACCCCTCGAGATTGAACGGTACAGCATCTATCTTGGCATATCCACCATTTCCAGAGAAATACAGTGCATTTTCACCATCATGATGTGATAGGTATCGGGCACCTCCTGACGTCCCATGAAAACTGATTTATTTGAATAAACAGGTAAATATTTAGAAAAGGCATAGCATAACAATACTTAAAGAAAGAAAACATTTTACGGGTCGTCAAGACATCATTATCTAGCTTCCAGGAAGAACGTAAAGAAAGCTAAAGTCGAATATCTAATGAAATTGACGTAATCTTATTAGAAAAGCTTAACCCTAAGCTAAGGTGTTTTTCCCCTCATGGACAGCATTTCAAAAAACGAACGATCAAATATGTTTTTACATTTTTGAGAACACTAAATAGTGAATTTAGATCTTTAAACCATGTTTATTTTTTGCGCGATGTTTACCAGTGCTAGAAGACAGATTGCGAAKAACGCATATCCTTCCTAGTAGCTTGATAAAGGTGTGATAGTGGTGTAGAGTTAAAGCGAAAATGACAGAAATCAGGTGACTTTTTCTGGATGGAATTTGTAGAATTTCTTTATTATTTCCAGGTTTTAGCCTCGCATTCAAAATAATTTTGAAAGTGAGGTGAAAATATTAATAAGAATATGTACAGCCTTTCCTTATTTTCGACTGACCTTTTCAGTCATATTAACAATAGGGGATTTTACCTTTTCCAGTCCATTCTCCTGATTTGCAATCGGAAAATGATCAAATTTACTTTATTTGTATCGATCTGAATTTCAAGTTCAATGTTTGGTCAATAAAGGCATACAACGATGTGCATCGAGGTTAACATGTTATTGGTCGACTAAGAAACATCAACGTTGAATTATATGAACAATGATCTTTGTTTAACGACCAATATGTGAATGATTGATCTAGGCCTGAGCGTCATGTAAACGTCCATTTAGGCGGGGGGGAAATATGTCTTAAAGATCGTTACACTGCACGGTGATCTGCTAACGCATCAGTGGCAAATAAACTAAAAATAACTGTTTTTCTACTTTACCTTACTCCTGGCTCGTAACCGTTAAATTTCCAATAAACATCAGGGAATTTCATTTCTGTTAAAGTTAAAACATAGAGTGTTGACAAATGTTTTTCTAAAATGTTTCTATCGCAGATGTTATGAAAGGCCTGTATTACAGTCAGACTCTGTCTGATGGTTGGTTTATTCGTTGGTTGGCATGGTTGGTGGGTTGGTGGGTTGGTGGGT